CTGAGCAGTCTCAGCATGGTAGCAGAATATGCATTTTGTCAGATGAAAGGGACAAGGGGAGCCTTTGCTGTCAAGCTTGAGATCAGCTTCTGGTTCCTCAACAAGAATCTGCTTGGCACTGATGGCAAGGGAAGCACATGGCTGCAAACAGTGAGAAAAAAGCCAAGGGAGAACTATAGCTATCCAGGCTTACTGCAGTGTGTCCACTTGCAGCAAAGGATAATCACAAGGGACATGCTGATGGTCTGTTCTGTACAGAGTGAGTCGTTGCTTCTTGCTGTGAAATTCTGTTCTGCTGATAGACATCACCGAGTGGCTCTCTTGTTCCTCATTTTGGCCTTCCTATGCTTATCTCATCCATGTCATCAGAACTCTTTGCGATTTATAAATAGTATAGAGCAGCCTTCATTCCCTTGGTCCTGGCCCCAAGGCCATCAGAAACAGTAATAGAAATGTCCCTGGCAAGTGAAAGGAAAGTTTGAGACTTTCAGCCAAAATGACTGCAAACAGGTAAACAGTGCTGAACAAAACTTGTCCCTAAGGATGTGGCACTATTAACAGTCTTATCTAAATGTGGGGAACTTTAGGGGTAGAAAGCAGCTCAGCCTGTGATCCACTCCTCTGTGCCTGAAAGCAACTTCACCATGACAAGCATCTGACCATCAGCTAAAAAGGCTGTCTTTGAAATCTGCATTCTCTCCACAATAGTCTAACTATCATCCAAAACAAAATCTGTCACTTCTTTTGTACTTGCAGTGCTTTCACATCTTCATCTTCCTTTCCACAGAGTGCATCTCAGCAACTACTTCTCTGTAACCTTTCAAAAATATTCCTCCCGTTATTTATCCTTTTCTGTTAGGAGGCTTATCCCTGGAAAGGAATAAAGAGAGCCTCCTGATTCTGAGACTACCATGACCATCTTCATTCCTCTTCGTTTTCCTCTGGCCGGCAACGAACCTTTGCATTATTCCAAGAGCAAGAAGGGAGTCACAGTGTTGAGAGGGGTGCTGCGAGTCCTAGTCCAGCTCCCTGCCCAGAGGCAGGATGAGCTATAGCTTTGTCTTTCCCAGCAGGCGTTTGCCTACTGAGTCTCCTCAGGAGATCCTTCAATCTACTTGAACAAAACCACCCGTGTTTCCCAGACATTCCTATTAGTGACCTATGCCTGTCTAAACCACTCTCTAACCTGCATTATACTAACCTAGAAGAGCAGAAAATATCAAAGGAAGAGACTAGAAGAGCCGCAGAAAATGTTCCTTTCTGGGAATTCTTGCCAGTCCAGCTACTTCATTAGTTATAATTTAACCACTGACAGAAAATGATCCATGTGAAACAAACCTCCACAAAATAGAGCAATGGAGCGACAGTTAATCTTCAGGATAATTCAAAATGTAATAGGAACAGAAGTATGTAAAGAAACAGAGAAATAACAACAACAAACCTATCTATTTAAGGCAGTTAAAACAAGAGCTCAAAAGCATCAGAAAACTAAGCAGGGCTAGGAGCGTAGAGTTCCACTCTGCTAGCATACGAGGAACCTCAACTTCATCTCAGAAGTTCACGCAGAAGAATGACTTTTAAGGGGACTTGTGGCTCTAGCACACACCCCTGTGCCTAAAGGACACGACTTACTGTGCTCTGGGATTGTAATTTTACATTTGCTATATTAATTTGGATTCAAAGCTGCCCGTATTCCTGAAAAAGAAATACATAGTTGTGTCTTGCTGCTTGAAAACCATCTCCCTTCTTCTGTTCTGGGAGATGACCGAATGCTACTCTGACTTAGAGCTGTTGCATCTTGCTGCTCCTACTTACATACTTTCCCCTCTTATATTCCACAACATTTTTCCTCCAACTGTGCTACGCCTACTGCCAAAAATAAGAATGCAGAGAACAGCCCACCACTGCAAGAAAGGGAACAGCATCTGCCCGGTTCTATTCTGCGGTTTCCTTTAGGTGACAACATGAGGAACAGGCTCAGGAGCTGGGTTTTGAAGTGACTGTGTGAGGAGCAGCCACTTCCTCAGCAGAAACCAGGAAAGCAAAACAGGCGCTTCTTTGGGAAGTTTTCTTGCCCCAACATTAAGCAAGCAAAACTAGACGCCAAGGCTTTCTTCCCTTCAGGCAACATCTGTGCATGAAAAAGATATGAGAAAATTCAAACCAGAAAAGAAATAAACTCATGGGTGTCTTATGACTGATATGAAACCGTCTTCAGAGCTTCCTAAATACCAGAGAAGCCTAGTATCTGACTGGGTTGATATGTAAGTATAAATATGTAAATATATGTTAATAACAGTAACTAAGTACTTCTCACAAAACAGTGTTATAAGTGTTTGTGCTTGCATACACTCACGCAAATACTTGCCCACCCACACACCATATCAACCCAAATGTGAAGGAAGATTTTTTTTTTAGGAAAATAGCCCCAGAAACATACTACTACTTATAATTAGGTTGCTCTGTCCCTGCTGCCTATGCCTTGCTGAAGCAATATAAGGCAAGGACCACACTTCCTCAGAGTCACTGATAAAAATAAGGAGTAATGAGAAGTCCTGGGCTAAACTTAGCTGACACATCAGTGTCTTGTGGAGAGCCTGCCTGGACAAAACTCAGCCAGCTTTCTTGTAAACACATCTGCAGAATGCAGGGTTTTGAAAGAAGACTATGTGGACAGAGATAGCTTCTCTGTGTTTTGCCCCTTGTGCCACAAATGCCTTCCCCACTTAGAGCAGAAATATCAGGAATCCCCAGGAGAGGAACAGGACTCTCGTGTTTCCACCCGGAAAACCTAAGGAAATGCAGATGGTGCATGGGGAGCCCCTAACTGCAGTGTCTCTGCAGGAAGCATAGCATCCCAGCTGTACCAGAGTTAGTCTGCACATGCTGCGTGGTTGATACGAATGCGCACAATCTGTGCCGCACCACTGCAACGACTGCAGAGTGCTCAGCTGCAGCATGCCCAATGTGCACACCTGGCGCAGCCGTGCTGTGCGTGTACCGGGCCCGCTCTTCAAGGATGGCATGCAAATGAAAGCAAGCTACTGCCTGTCCAAGCTGCTGGATATTCAACAAACTCTGGAATAAATGGCTAAAGTCCTCTTCTCCATTAAGGACTAAATTTCCAGTTGAGGAAGAAAACAGGTAGGGAATGCTCTCTGGAAGGGATCTTTAAGACAGAAGTCTTCAGAAGCACAGAACCGGAGCAGGCAAAGGGAATTGCCCAACCTCCGCTCTGGAACCACTGCCTCACATCACAATTGGCCAAATAGGAACTTTTATATTTTATATTTTTTTTTCCCCTTGCTACTGTGCCACCTGCAGAGGTTTTAATAATTAATTTATATTACAAAAACATATGTGTTTGCATTCTGTGGTGCCATTTCTGACAGCAACACACATCAAATTTTGTAGAGTTTACTTTTTTACAGGTAAAAAAACTTGAAAACTCCTTTGTTTCTAGGTGTTTGCTTTCTTTTTTATAACTAGGTAGAATTTTTTTACATCTCAGTATGCATTTGAAATGGTGACTTCTTTCTGAACTCCTGGGGATAAGGAAAAAATCAAGATTCCACAAAAGGTCCCCTAAATATACTAACTGCTTGCAACAGACAGGAATGTGATTCATCATGAACGAAAATTATGCTGCCACTGGGAGTGGCAATGGCTTTATATCCCATTGCTCCAGAAGCCCTGTCATCAAGCTCAGCAGTCAAGTTGACACCATCAGTCCTGAGGAGAAGGTAAATATCTCCCTGATCTTTAATTCTAACCTTTACGTTACAAATGACATAACTATGAAATGTCTAAAGATTGATATGTGCATTAGTGATGTACATATCTGCTTAGCACATATATACTGCATATAACATATTTTGAGGAAGTGAGAATATTTTCAAGATGCTGCACAATGTTTTGGAATGCATTAAAATGTATGGGCTGTGTGATGAAGCTGTGTTTAACTTGCACAATGGCTTTTCCAGGTGTGTTTCTAAAAGAAGATTAAAACCAAACCTTTTCCCACTTCTTCTGCATGATCCAGATTGGTAATTTAAGAGAACATGATCTTTCTACACCATTCCATATTTTAAATATTTACATGGATAATTTTTCTTGTGTAATGGGGGAAAGGTATCTTCCACATCTGTGGAGAAAGTTATTCCATCTCGGTAAGAATCAAACCAAAAATGACTTAGAATGGTGGAAACTCTAAAATACTGAACTGACTTTCTAAGGGATCAGATGCCTCTGCATCACTTTACTGGATGAAGACACTGGGAAAAGACTTTCATAAGAAAGGAACTCTGTCCTAGGTGTAAGGTGTGAAGAGTTTTGCAGAACATTCAAGATCATCTGCTAGTAATAATTGTGATCATAACTGAAGTATATCTGGGAAAACTGTTAAAGCTGCAGATAAAATAAAAAATATGACTGGAATTTTCCACTAATACACAATGTGTCTTTGTTGAAAATCTTGCTGAGTGAGCCTATCTGTAGTTCAATTTTCTGTCAAATGTTCGTTATGCAACCAGCCTTAGAAGGACACAGTATGTGAGGCACAGCTGATTAATACGCACAAAGTTTTTAGAGAGAGACACAGAGAGTGAGGTATGATCAAGGGGTGTAAGTAATAAGTGCTATGCCCAGAGGACTTCAGGCAAGAAAGATTGGAACATAAAGTGAGCTGGGACTGTGGTTAGGACAAGGTTAGGGCTAAGTGATGAACCCATAGCTATTGCTTGAGCTGGAGAAACAGCTGAACTCAGAATACTGTTTCTGAAAATATGTTTCTCCTGCCATTCAGGGTGCTGGTTTTCAGATGAGTTGTTTCAATCTGAAGTTCACTGTGAAATCCCAGATGTGGTGAGTCAGGAGTCTTCTGTGACGTGCTGAACAATTCAGCCATGCTACTGCAGAAAACCTTACTGTGCTCTACCAAGGCATCTAAGCTTAGCAGGTGTAAGGATGAGAAGACTAAATCTTTGTTTCCCTTGTTGCAGGCGATCGCAGCATCACAATGTGCTCTCTCAGCGCAGCCAATGCCAAGTTCTGCCTCGACTTTTTCAGAGAGCTGAGCAAAATAAAAAGAAATGAAAACATCTTCTTCTCGCCGCTAAGTCTCTCAGCTGCCTTTGGGATGGTTGTCCTCGGAGCCAGGGGCAACACACTGGAGCAGATTGAGAAGGTGGGTTTCCTTTGCTCTGAGAAGGGGACGGTGGCAAGATATGAGCCACGAG